GCCAATTATCTAGCTTTAACTTCTTGGTATCAATTTCAGCTCTTGGAATAGATCTTCCCCCTTACTGATGACCTTTCTGAGGATTAGCAGAGAAGCTGGTGAGTAGTGTAGTGTTGAAATGCATTTGTAGGCCCATTAACAGTGACTCAAATGGTTTGGATAGGGACATCTGTTACTCTGCTGAGACCCATTAAGTCACAAGTCATTGGACTTCTGTGAGAAACAATGGAAACAGTTAATATTACTTGGTCTATTAAAATAAAAAATGAGATGTCTTCATTTCATCCTCCTCCTAATACAGAGCAAATGAAATTTCCCTCCTTAAGCTTCCAACTGAAAGTGCAAAGGCATCACCAACATCTACAGAAGAGACAGCAGCTTAAACTTCTCTGAAGTTTTTTAACCTGTTTGTGTGTTGTGAGCTCTCTTAATAATATGTAAAGGACTGAGGAAAAAGCTGAAGATTCATTCTACCCATCTGCTCCTTTTTGGGGAATGTAGTTGGTGTCCCTTCAGTGTGGGGTTACTCGTTAGCTTGGGTACATGGTGAACATTTTCTCTAGTTACTAGTTCTTGTGCCATATTGCTTCTTACACATCCCTCCCACAAGGTTTTCTTCAAAGACTTTTAAGTTTTGGTTTTGGGAAAGATCTTTTGACACTAGAGGAAGGCCTTTTACTTGTGATGTTTTCTTACATGGAAGGCATTTTCTTTTGTCCTACTGCAGGCTTCCATAAAGTAGGTTTTGATTTCAACTTTCTAAGTTCTGTGTTACTTTTTCTGCATATATTCTGTGTACGAGAGGGAATTTTCACACATTAAAATGTCAGTTTTCATATATTTTCCTATTACAATAGGTAATATACATCTCTTGACACCTTTACATAGCTTTTGCTTCTGATGACTGCTATAGGACTGCAGTTCCACTTAGCTCCTTAAATTTCTTCTGGGGCATCATATTATGACACTACAGCTCAGGAAACCTGAACTATTTGGAAGGAAAATTGCTCAGTAGTAATTGAAGTCTTGTCTGTGCATATTCACCTTACTCATCTTCTTGGTTTTCTTCTCTGAAAAAGTCTTAAGAAAGGGCTAAGAGGTCACAAAGACCAGAAAATCCTTTGGTTTCGGGAAGAAAGGGAGCCTACTTCTCCACAAATGTCACTTATGTCCATTTTTTTTAGTGAACAAGGATTCTGCTCTGTTTTTGGAGGAATTGGAAAAGTTTAAAATGGAGACCAAACAAAAGTTCTTTCCTGTGTCCTTGTCCTGTATGCCTTTTGCTAGTCACTTGCTACAGTGCCATATGGCTTTGTGTGCATAACACACATACCCTTTGCAGGAGAAAGGAGAGAGGTAAAGCTGTACAGTGTATTCTCTAATCAGAAAGGGGTTTATATCAGATCCTATAATGGAATCTTTAGGGTGAAATCTAAGTTTTTGCTCTGATTAAACTGAGAAAATATATTCCAATCAAATAGCAGGTAATTGGTGCTGATACCACTTTTGGACTTAGTCTTAGTTGTCAGATAAGAACTGTGGTGTGGATCTGTGTTGTTTCTCCCTTTTGATTTCTTCTGTCTGTAGTTTTATTTCTGTGTGCAGTTGCTGCAGGCTAGAGAAAGAAATGTACTTGTCTGTACATACACAGAAATATTAAATGAGGAAATAACACTGAAACTTGTATTTTGCTAAAACTAGTCACTGAGAACTGCCTCAATCTGGGATTTTCAGGGGCACAGCCCTGACCTGTAGTAACAGAAGGTGTTGTAATGCAGATTGTACCCAGATGTCCCAGATGTCCACCTGACGAACCGCTCGCTATCATGAAGCCTGACATAGTGTTCTTTGGGGAGAACCTACCCGAGCAGTTCCACCGCGCCATGAAGTACGACAAAAATGAAGTTGATCTCCTGATTGTCATCGGGTCTTCACTGAAAGTAAGGCCAGTAGCATTGATTCCAAGTAAGTGACTGTGTCTGGCAATACTTTCTTCCAAAAACATGCATAAGAAATGTAATTCTCCATTAAGAGCTCTAAGAAATACTTCTGGCTTGATTCAGTGAAAAAACTAGACTAACTATAGAATCATAGACTGCCAGGTTGGATCATCTGGTCCAACCCTTCTAAGATGAAAACTGATTGTCTCTGTAAAGCAAAACAGAGAACGAAACAAATTCTAAGTGCTTTTTCTACACTCCAGGCAGATCTCAAGGTAATGAAATGATAAACTGAGAAACTACTTTCCTAAAAGTTGATCGACTTTGTTCTGAGATTCATTTCTCTCCCTGCTTGCAATATGCTTTTAGGGTTACTTGAAAGACTTAGAAAGGAATAATCTGTAAAAAGATAAATGTAGGATCAAAAAATCAGATCAGGTTATATCAGGTGACTGAGTGTAGCTTATTTTAAAGTCAGCACTTAATAGTAAATGATACACAGTGTACATTATATAGTGTGTGACCATCTGGACCCTTGGCTTTTAAAAGTGAGAGAAAAAAATATGTCTGCTAATAGACATTATAGAAAAATGCCCTTCAAGTAAGCTGAGATAATACCATGACAGGTGGTTTATTTGCCTACTGAGTGGAAGATTTGCTGGTACTAATGAAATGCCCTTCACAGGTAAGCCTGAGAAGGACACGTGTTAGCATCTCCCAGTAACAGGGAACAGTACCACATCTAGGGCCTCTGTCATAACATCCTCTGCTGTACCAGAGGCAGAGCCTGGTGATGAGGCTGATGGGAAATGCACATGGACTGGACAGCTAGGATCCACTACACAAACCATTGCTCTTTCTGTGTTCTAGAGCTGGATTTCATGAGGTGGTTATCTGAGGAATCAATGCTTGGTTACCAAACCAGTGGGTTTTGGAAGACTAAATGTCAGAAATGAGTTGAGCAACCTTGCATAGTTGTAGAGCGTACCTGGAAATATTTTGACCTACTTTAATGGGATTTCATTTACCAGTACTATATTCTTCACTCGCACTTAGGGATATAAAATGAATGCACTAAATCAAAACTGTTCTTCTCAGAGATTCTGGTACTAATTTTCATAACCTTTTTAACATTTGACCGAACATTTGTGTAGTCAGTATTTCTGTGCAGGTGTTTCTTACTGATGGACTGGAGAAACACTTTTTACTGTAAAAAATGGGGGGGAAATGTAGCCAGGCTACAGTAGGCACCTCGAACTGCTGTTATTAAATGTGAGATTAGCTCATCTGCTCCCTGGTCTGTTTTGGTCTTGTTGCAAATGAACATATGAAGAGAAGTCTGAGGAATCAAACTTTCTAAGTAGATCTTTGCTAAAAGGGAAACTGAAGTGACTATCTTTAAGTTCTCTTTTCTATATGTAGGTTCCATCCCCCATGACGTGCCTCAGATCTTAATTAATAGAGAACCTTTGCCTCATCTACACTTTGACGTGGAGCTTCTTGGAGACTGCGATGTTATTATTAATGAATTATGTCAAAGGCTAGGCCGTGAATATAAAAAACTTTGCTACAACTCAGTAAAACTTTCAGAAATAACAGAAAAGCCTCCACGAACGCACAAGGAGCTCGAAGTGCACTCATCTGAGCTACCACCTACCCCTTTAGTCATTTCTGAAGACTCTAGTTCACCAGAAAGAATGACTCCACCAGATACTTCGGTGGTGTCTTCAGAACACCCAGCTGAATGTAAGGTAGAAAACTGTGATCCTGCCTCAGAAACTAAAGAGACCTGCACAGAGGAAAAGCTTCAGGACACACAGACATCCTCAGAGAGCCCTGAAAATCCTGCTGGTGAATTAATGAACTCCGAAACAATGAAGGAAAATGGATCTAACAGTGGAGACAATAAAGAAAAAAATGAAATATTGAAGAAGTGCTGGGTAAATAGATCTGCAAAGGAGCAGATTAGCAAAAGGCTGGATGGTAAGTGTTAATTCATTTTAGTATTGTGCATTTTTTCACCAAGATGTTTATTCTAGACTTACTTTAAAGGAATAAGTAAGTTACCCTTGAGGGAGTCAGTGCGCTTTGGTGGTTTATTTTTGTTTAGACAAGTGTCTGCATAACTCATGTAATTTATTTCTTTTAGAGAAGCTGACAGGAAAACTTGTAATTCCTAATAGGTTTTATAATTAGTGATTACGTAGTCCCTAAAACAAAGTTCAGGAGGTTGAAGGTAAGTATGGGTAAAGAGATCAGTTTCTAACACTTTCAAATGCATTTTCAGAAAAATTACTTTGATCCTCAGGTGTTAAGAAGCAGGTCACACTAGGTCATAATCTGGTATGGCAGCGATCTTGTAGAACTGAATCATGAGGCCATGACAGGAGCTGAAAAGCAAATCTCACAGCTGGGGCTGGGCACATTTCAAAGGAAACTTTAGACTACCAGTGTGCAGGCTCCTCACTGATACTGTCACACTAGAAAATCAGTGTGGATGGAGAAGCAGGTACTAAATGGCAACTTTCTAAAGCAAAGGCTATTTTTAAACTTTGCCAATAATATACTCTGTGCAGTGTGTTCCAGTTTGGTTACAGGTAATGGACATCTCCCTGCCAATGCATACGCCAGTGAAAAAGCTGCTAAACATTAAGGTTAAAATCTGTTCTGTGTCAAAGGAAGTGGGGGGGGGAATGCTGAGCTTTCCAGTGAAGCATCTGTTCCATGCTGTTCCTTATGATACACTGAAATCAGCGTGTTTCTATTGTAATCTGAATTGTCAGTTAAGTTTCACTGATGAGAATACAAACATACAAGTACCTCCTAACCAGAAGTCTGCAAGATCTTGTATGAAAATATTGTTTTAGCCTTTTATTGACTTTTAAAATTCTGTTTCAGGTACTCAGTATCTGTTTTTACCACCAAATCGCTATATTTTCCATGGTGCTGAGGTGTACTCAGATTCTGAAGACGATATCATATCTTCTAGCTCTTGTGGGAGTAGTAGTGAAAGTGGTTCATGTCGCAGTCAGAGCTTAGATGTGGAGGACGAAAGTGAGATCGAGGAGTTTTACAATGGCATAGAGGAAGAGGATGCTCCCGAAAGGGAAGAGGAACCTGGGTTTGGGGAAGATGGAGTTGAACAAGATGAATCGGCAGCTGATGAATCAGCATATGCAAATGAAGCTGCAGGGACTGACCATCCAAGCAACAACTTGTAAAATGATCAGTGACTGGTTACAGGAACTTTCCACCAGCATTAGAAGCTTTGGCATGTCAGAATGAATGTTTACGTCTGAGTTTAGAGCAACAAAACCATAAGGATGTAGTGTTTATAAACAACTAAAACAGATTTTCATGCTTAGTTTTTTACCTTTTTCAATAAAATTCTATTACTGCGCACTCAACACTTAACTCTTTTTTTTTTTTTTTTAAGGTACTAGGAATATCTAAACAATTGTCACTATGTTCACTTTTAAGTTCATCTGTCTGGTCAGGCAACCATGTATATAATACATATTTTTGCTTAATGAACTTCAGCTTATATTATTTTTAAACAGTTTTGAAAAAGCCATTGGAATGTTAAACTAATATAAAGGGAACAGCTAATTTAGACCAAAGATGGTATTTTCACACCTCTTGCTTTGTAACAGTTTGGTTTATTTAAAACCTTCTTACGCCGAGGAGTTTTACAATGGCATAGAGGAAGAGGATGCTCCCGAAAGGGAAGAGGAACCTGGGTTTGGGGAAGATGGAGTTGAACAAGATGAATCGGCAGCTGATGAATCAGCATATGCAAATGAAGCTGCAGGGACTGACCATCCAAGCAACAACTTGTAAAATGATCAGTGACTGGTTACAGGAACTTTCCACCAGCATTAGAAGCTTTGGCATGTCAGAATGAATGTTTACGTCTGAGTTTAGAGCAACAAAACCATAAGGATGTAGTGTTTATAAACAACTAAAACAGATTTTCATGCTTAGTTTTTTACCTTTTTCAATAAAATTCTATTACTGCGCACTCAACACTTAACTCTTTTTTTTTTTTTTAAGGTACTAGGAATATCTAAACAATTGTCACTATGTTCACTTTTAAGTTCATCTGTCTGGTCAGGCAACCATGTATATAATACATATTTTTGCTTAATGAACTTCAGCTTATATTATTTTTAAACAGTTTTGAAAAAGCCATTGGAATGTTAAACTAATATAAAGGGAACAGCTAATTTAGACCAAAGATGGTATTTTCACACCTCTTGCTTTGTAACAGTTTGGTTTATTTAAAACCTTCTTACGCTTCTGCTAAACCTTTAATTTCTCGCCTAGTCTGTCATTAAACACTGGCATTTTCTAAGACCTACTGTGGCAGCTAATTTTTTGCTTTAACAGTTACTTTGTATGTTTGAGACATACTTAAATGTGAGTAGTGAGATGGAAACAAGAGGAGCACTTGAGAAATCCTATGATTTTTAGACGGCTCAAAAAGTGCTGTGAAAATGCTTCGGTAACTGAGTTTAATACTTCCTGTGGACATGAAGCGCTGTTGACATTGGCTCCTTAGCAGTGATGATGATACTGGTATTTTACACAAAATGGGTCCCCCAGGGTAGACCTTTTCCACACTATACACAGAAGTCAAATATAGCACAGCTTGCATTAAGAACAGCATCTGATGGATTGCCAAGGCTCTAATGTGGAAGCTGGGCTGAGCTCAGAACAGTGTTTCTGCCAGCACGTGAGAAGGCACAAAGAAATAAGCTCTTCCTTTATATTTATTGATGCAACAAAACCAGGAGAAACTAACTCAAACATGGAGAGCCTCTGCTACGCTGCTGGGCGGACAAAACTGAGACTGATCACCCAGCCTGGAAGCACTCTGCTTTGAGGTCAGGTTGGGAAAAGTTTTCCACCTGCTAGCTCCACCCTGCATTTTCCAAGCAAAGCAGCTCCGCAAATTATTACATTGTATATCCAAGTGCTAGGCTGCCTTAAAACTGGATGTTGCAAATTTTCAAGTGCAGATTGTTTCCACGCCTTTAGGACCATTTTGTAAAATTGCACAGTGCAGTAGTAAGTGAAACAGCATTTTTCTATAAACCACTTTTTCAACATTGGCCCAAATGAACTCTACGATGTAGATTATTCATATACTTTGCTTTAATATTTATTACATTTTGGAGGATGTATAGTAACTGTTCCTTGAACATAAGATACATCAGTTAATAAATATTTAAGAACAGCCTCCTGTATTCATCAGAAGATGTTGGCATGTTGTCTCATTGTCCAAATTTAATGCAGCTTTTATTTGGCTATACTAAAGAATGCAATATTAGTTTACACTTGCATGTCACAATGTATTAGTTTGTGCTATAGGAGATATTTTAAATTGAAATACTTTGTTTTAAATTATTTTTACAGTGAGGATTGTTTTCTGCTCTTTTATATTGTATATAGTGTCTTTTATGTAATCTACTGGCATATGTTTTGTAGAAGACTGTTTAAAATGACTGGCTATCTTCCTGCAACTTTTGAAATACAAAACCAGTGTTTTATACTCGTACACTCTGTTCTAAAGTCTATTAAAATTGTCATTTGATTTATGGTTTCTGTTAATTTCTAATTAGATCTTAAAAACCTAACAAAAAGATGCCCTAAGAAGTCAGGGTATACCCTAGCTAATATAAGGCACTGTATGACAAATTTCTTTTTTCCATCTGCTCACTTTGGGGGGAAGCTGCTCTGCACTGTCTTTGGCAAAATGACCCCCTAAACCATGATGCAATATTATCCTTCAGAAAACTACTTTTCTCCTTCCAAATCCTGAGTTAACTTGAGATGTATTTGCTGAACACTAGGGTTTATTTCTGCTGGAATTCCAGTACCTCTCAGCTCTGCCACACTTTCTCTATCCAGCCCAAAGCTCCTTGGACTTTTGGCACTTGCTGCTTCCACCATAACTCCAAACAACCATGTCCAGGAAAGGCATCCTGTAAGGAACCTGCAGCACACAGGAGTTCAGAGCATGTTCTGGCATCACGTACACAAACATCTCACCTTGTTTTGACTTTGTGCAGGTAATGCTGACAGGTAAAGCCTGTGTTTCCCTTTGGGTGGTGTTCCACCCACCCAGCACAGCTGCAGGTGAAGCACAACTACAGAGAGCCCTAGCTGGGTCAGTCCTTGGTTTGTCCTGTGGCTTCCCAGGGGCTGCAGCTGTACTGACCCCCCTCTTCCCTACTGCAAAGATCCACTCCTGTTGGTGCTCAAGGGCCAAGGGCCAGGTTAAATGGTTTTCCACTGTGAAACATCTATTTTGATGATTCTGCTGTACTGAACCACCACCCCTCAAATATAAACTATATTTCTATTAGTAAAAAACCCCAACTGTTTATAAAACACACACCTGAGACTGGAAAAAAAGGTATTAAAATACTAAGAATTTTTACACAGATATTTCCTTATCAATTGCTTATTACTCTGAAAAGACCTGAAAACATTTTTCCTCTAGAATGAAACTGCTGTGCCTTTTTCTACACCTAGATGAGCAAGTTCTGCTTTTTGTTCTCTATCTTTGCCAATATTATCTGAACAGAAGAACCCTAAACTACAACGTGCTGCCCTACTCCTCCATTTCACACACATCTTTTCCCCATAATGAAGATGTCATCTTCAAATATTGTTTAAAACAATCACAAGACAAATAACAGGGATGAGGAAACATTTGCTATCACTCACAGCTCTTTGTTATGCTTGACTATTCCTCATCTTATATGAAAAACATTTTGAAGCCTGCAAGAGCACGTTTGATTCCAGCTGTGATGTGTAGGATCTCAAAAAGGCAGGTTACTTATTTTTCTCATAATTTGCATTACTACCCTATGGAAGGAAGCATCTTAACCCTCTCAATGTTTATATGAAATAGATGCACTGAAAAAGTAAAGTACAAGCACGTGTTTAATATGACGGTGCCATTCCCCAGCCCCCTTTCAGCCTGTTTTGATGCATTATAATGACCTTGCAAAAGTATTTCAACTGATGTAAAACAAGTCCACATTCAAAAATCATGTTCAAACAAACAAAGTTCGTTCTTAATCACCATGTATTCTCTATGGGTCTATCCCAAATCCAATAGAACTTTAGTGGTTTTGATTATGGAAAATACATACTGTTGTTAAACGCACGACAGCAAAGTGTCCAAAAACATCAGATTAGGAAGTGTTCACAGTGAACAGAACACAAATGAAACCAGCATTCAGAATCAATCTCAAAAACTGCAAAAAGTTTGAGAAAAAGGATGACACCATGCAGTCCCTGCAGCCCAGTACCTGTGCTTAAATACCAAACCAGAACGGTCAAATCTAAAGGCAGTTACAATTGCTTGCATAGCACACTTGTCTACAGAGTGACTGGAGAATAAAATGTAGCTCAAAATACAGAACTTCAGGCTGACATGGCTGGCCCTGCCCGTGTAAGGACAGGTTCTAAACTAGCTATAACTCATCATGAGCACACAGAGCTGTAACTGTACCCTTAGTTCAGCAGTTTTGAGAAGACACACAGGCTGCTAGAACTTAGTAGGAAAAGCAATAAAAACATTTATTTATTAACATTTATTTATTAACATCTCTTTAGGTCAAGAGAGGTTCTCCTCCCCCTCTATTCTGCATTGGTGAGGCCACATCTGGAGTATTGTGTCCAGTTCTGGGCCCCTCAGTTCAAGAAGGACAGGGAACTGCTCGAAAGAGTCCAGGGCAGAGCTACTAAGATGATTAAGGGAGTGAAACATCTCCCTGCTGAGGAAAGGCTGAGGGAGCTGGGTCTCTTTAGCTTGGAGAAAAGGAGACTGAGGGGTGACCTCATCAATGTTTACAAATATGTAAGGGGTGAGTGTCAGGGAGATGGAGTTAGGCTTTTCTCAGTGATGACCAGTGATAGGACAAGGGGTAATGGGTGTAAATTGGAGCATAGGAGGTTCAAGGTGAATATCCGAAAAACATTTTTTACTGTGAGAGTGACAGAGCACTGGGACAGGCTGCCCAGGGAGGTTGTGGAGTCTCCCTCACTGGAGACATTCAAAACCCACCTGGATGAGTTCCTGTGTGATGTACTCTAGGTGACCCTGCTCTGGCAGAGGGGTTGGACTAGATGATCTCTCGAGGTCCCTTCCAGCCCCTAAGATTCTATGATTCTATGAAGTGCAAAGCTGTTTATCAGTAAAATAATTTTCATTAGAAATTAAGTAACTAAATGAAAAAATTAACTTTTCACATCTCCACTTGTTCCACAAAATCTACAATGCCTTAATTATTGCTTAATTATATATGTAATTTTCCAAATTGTGCCAGTTAATGGGGCACAAGATATTAAAAATGAGCTACCATCATCTTTCTGCCTCACACACT